TCTATCTATCTATCTATCTATCTATCTATCTAACAGAAGAGAGATCCCGGACGGTACTGGCCCCTAGCGTGGCTGCCGAGATAGAACAAAAACAGCTGAAGGCCAGGGAATACCTGTGTGGCTTTGGCTCTCGTCTCAGTGATGTAAGTGAGCTGTGTGTGCTCTTGTGCGCTCGCACGTGCGTGCGTGTGAGTGTGTGTGTGTGTATGTGTATGTGTGTGTGCGTGTGTGTGTGTGTGTGTATGTGTGTGTGTGTGTGTGTTTATGTGTGAGTGAGAGAAAAGAGAAAGACAGACAGAAATTTTGAGCGAATATAACAGCCAAAGATAGAGAAAGATTAAGAGAACGCACTCACACATAAGCACACTCACACAAACACACACACACACACACACACACACACACACACACACACACACACACACACACACACACGTACAAATATCCAATCAACCAATTCGAAAAAAAGGATAACCTTTGACAGCAGAATCTGCTCAGGGGTCAAGGCCGAGTTCAAGGTCATCATCTCCCGGACGACAGCATCCAGAGCGCGGGTCATGAGTGCAGAACGCTGGGCCGAGTGGCGAGAGGGGTGGAGGGCCGCCCGGTCCAATGTGAGGGCGTTGCGGTTCAAACCCAGGCGATGCAACACCTCCTGGAGATACCCAAGGGGGAGGGGGGGGCAGTGAGCTGCTGACTGTATTTTCTTTTTAAGTTTTAGTAGAGGTTTTACGGCGCTCGCAACTGTATAAGGTCATATGAGCGCCAGAAGATTAGAGGTGTTACAAGAGAGTAACAAACATCAAAAAGAAGATGGGGAGATAAAGACGATAGTTGTTTGATAGGAAAAAAGGAGCAAACCACACCAGAGCACCCGCCAACCACTCACTGACCGGCTTTTTGTTGACAGGTGTGATAGTGACTGATAGTTTGGTTACTGGGTTGGTTGGTGGGTTTGTTGACTGTTCGCTAAGGTAACGCCTGCATCTGTAACACAAGTGTAGCATAATAAAAGTATAATAAACTTTGAAGGCAGTTGATGGGAGATGGCACAAGCACAAATCAGTGAGTGAAAAGGAAGGGCATAAGGAGGACATAATAATATGTGGAAGAGTGACAGGGGTTATATATCAATGTGTGAGAAAAGAGGGATGCAAATGGAGGAGGTGTCCGAAGGAGTTTGGAAGTGGGGGGG